AGAGGCCCCCCCGCGCTGCCCGCAGAGGCCCCGAGCGCGCCCACATAGGGCCCAGCGCGCTGCCCACTGAGGCCCCCGACGCAGCCCGCAGAGGCCCCAGCCCGCAGAGGCCCCCAGCGCGCAGTCCAATGAGGCCCTCCGGCGCAGCCCACAGAGGCCCAAACCCCAGCCCCAAGCGTGCCCGCGGAGGCCCCGAGCGCGCCCGCCGAGGCCCCCGCGCGCTGCCCACTGAGGCCTTCCGGCGCAGCCCACAGGCCCCCAGCGCGCCCGCAGAGGCCCCGGCCCGCAGCGGCCCCAAGCGCGCCCACAGAGGCCCCCGCGCGCTGTCCACCGGGGCCCCCGACACAGCCCACGCAAGCCCCGAGCGCGCCCGCGGAGGCTCCAGGGCGCTGCCCACTGCGGCGCCGATTTTCTACAGAGGCCCCACGCGCGCCCACGCAGGCGCCTGCCCACAGAGGCGCCAAGCGCGCCGACAGCCCACAGAGGCCCCAGCGCGCCCGCAGAGGCCCCGGCCCAGAGAGGCCCAAACGCGCCCACTGAGGCCCTGAGCGCGCCCACGGAGGCTGCAGCGCGCTGCCCACTCAGGCCCCGGCCCACAGGCCCTTCCGCGGAATCTCCGGCGCGCTGCCTGCCGAGGCCCCCCGACGACGCCCACAGAGGCCCCGCGCTCGCCCACGCAGGCCCCGGCCCACAGAAGCCCCGAGCGCGCCCGCGGAGGCCCCCGCGCGCTGCCCACCGAAGCAGGGTGATATGCCCCCGAGGGGGCACGGTCGACGACAAAGAGGGCGGGCATCGAGGGCCTGGGATAGACGCGTTGCATGGCACGCGATCAAATAACAACCAACTGTCTTAAAATGATTGCGTCGTTGTTGTTGTTGTCGTTGTTGGGGGCCGGTTTGGGCGGAACCCCGAAGCGCTTTAGCGCGGGCCTAACTTTCAAGGGAAACGCGGCCAGCGCCTAGGCGAGAGCGCGAAAGCGCATTAAGCAGCAACAGCAGCAGCAACACTCGTTTCAATATTGTTCGCTGTCACCATCTCCTGTGCCATTCAACGCGTATACCCCAACATCCCAAACCTTCGGCACCCGCTCTCGTCGTCTCCGACGGGGCCACTCCGTGGGCGCATCTCCCTCACCTGCCGCGCGCACTTCGTGCAGCCCCTGGGACGTGGGAGGGGATGGAATGGATCGGGAGAAATTCAGCAGGAGAGGGGCTAGGAGCAGACTGCGCACGGCAGAACCAGTCGGGCAGGTCGGACGGGGAGACTTCAACGGGCGGGTTGGGATTGGGAAGGCGGGCCCAAACGGCCTGGTCGAAAAGGAGCGCTGCTGAAGCGCGAGCACGACATAAATCGCGAGAAGATCTCGAACGACTGCGCGATTCCCAAATATTTTCCCAGAAAAACCAAAGCGAGAGCGTGATCCTTGACTGTCAAGGGCGCGGCGTTCGAATAAATTGAGGAAGTCCCGCGTGGCGTTCGAGTGAATTGATGAACTCCCACGCGAGAGCGCGATTTGTGTATAGATTGTGAGGAAGTCCCGCGCGAGAGCGCGATTTTCAAATACATTGCGAGGGAATTCAAGCGGGAGCTGTTGAACTTTCACACCCGTGCATTTTGTCTTTTCTCAATCAAAGTGCGCCCCTCGACGCTCGCACCTTGTTTTTGGATAAGGAAAGTCCTCCTGGTCAAAGTGCGCCGCTGGCCCCCCGGACTACAACAACAACGGCTCCCGCCCGAGACTTCTTCCAAATTTACTCAGGACCCCCCTCCTCTTGTTTGAGACTTCCTTCCAATTTACTCAGGATGGGCGCTCCCGCTTGAGACATCCTCACAATTTAGTCCGGGTCAAACTGCGTTGTTACCCTTCTGGAGTACAACAACAACGGCTCCCGCCTGACATTCTTCCAACTTTACTCAGGACCCCGCTCCCGCCTGAGACTTCCTCCCAATTTACTCAGGATCGGCGCTCCCGCCCGTGACCCCCTCGCAATTTAGTCAGGACTCCCCTTCCCGTTTGAGGTTTCGTTAAGATTTCCTTGCGTTGTAGTCTAGATCCCCGCTCCCGCCAGACATTCCTTTTTGCAGGAATTGCGCTTTCGCTTGTGACTTTTTCGCCGTTTATTCCGAAATCGGGCACCACATTCGCCTCCAACACTCCGCCGAGCAGCACCAGAGGTGTTACATGGCGTTGTTTATGGCGCGACCCATGGCGAAAACTTTGTTAAAGCGTGTTGGAATGGCTGGCGCAAACCTTGGCGCAAACTGAATCGCAACTCACTGCGCAAGTCCTCGTCGTCCCTCCCTCTTGCTCCTCAAATCCTTCCCTTCCTCCGATCCCTTCGTCCTCTCATTTCGTCTTTTTCCTTTCGTTTCCCTGTTTAGGGGCTTTTCCAAGTACACGGGGCAAGGAAGGAATATCTCCCCCACAAAAAGGGTACGATCGAAGACGAAGAGGGCGGGTATCCAGGGCTTGGGATATGCATAGTGAATGACACGCGGGCCGGTAGGAACGAACATTCGTTGCTGTTGTTGTTGTTGTTGCTGCTGTTGCTGTTGTTGTGGTATTGTTTTGTTGTTGTTGTTATTGTTGTAGCTGTTTTCGGTGCCCAGCAACGCAGTTTGGTGGAATCAACTTCCCCTTGATAGAAATAAAACGGGTGCGGGACCCGAAATGGGCGCTTGAATTGAAGAATCGAATGCTTACCGGACGGGGGCTGAGCGCTAATTATGTTCAAGGGTATGAGAATACTCATCATGTGTATCCCAAGCCCTCGGTGCTCGCCCTCTTCGTCTTCCATCATACCCACTTGGGCATGGATCTTCCATTGCTGCCACGTAAAATTTGAGCAGATGTTTCAACCACGGGAGGAGAGGACGGATGGAAAGGAGGGAGAAGGATGGAACGCGAGACAAATTTGCAGGAGGAGGGCTCGGAGCAGAAAGCACGTGGCAGAACCAGACGGGCGCATCGGGCTGACAGACCCGAGCGGGCGGGTCGGCAAGGCGTGCCCAGGCGGCCAAGTCGAGCAGGCGGGTCGTTGAAGCGTGAGTCTGGCATGGATGGCGCGGAAACCTCGAGCGATAGCGCGATTCCAAACATTAATCCTGAGAGAGAGCAGCAGAAGCTAGAGCGTGATTCCTGTGTATCGACGGCACGGTGTTTGAATACATCGCAGGGAAGTCCCACGCGACAGCGCGATTCACGGATGCATTGTGAGGAAATCTTGCGCGAGAGCGCGGGTCCTTGATGCATTGTGAGGAGGTATCAGGCGGGAGCCGTTGTTGCTGTTGTTGTAGACCAGGGCCGCGGGCACAGCTTGAGCATGAATATAGATTGGATCAATAGAACCATGGTGCGGGCCCCGAGGGGGGCATTTCAATGGAAACACCGTAACGTGCACCCGTGGGCGGGGGAACAACAGGCATTGTTCTCATAAGTGGAAAATGAACCACAAGAACAACAACAACAGCAACACCAACAACAACAACATCAACAACAAAAACAACAACAACAACAACAACAACAACAACAACAACATCAACAACAACAATAACACCAACAACAACAACAACAATCACAACATTAACAGCAACAACAACATCAACAACAATGACAGCAGCAACACCAGCGCAATAACGCAACAACGCAGCAACACTCCGCACCGTGAAACCCCACTTCAGACACGCGCCCAAGGACAATGAATGACCGCTCGGCGAGATGAATCAACGCGGGGGCTTGCGATCAGAATCTGCGGTAACGCACTACATAATAGCAATGTTTTGGACAGCCGCACGCGACTTCGTAACGTATGTGGCTGTCTTACGATGGAAGTTCACCAGGATGCGTTACATTTCAAGTCTGTTGGCAAGCATTACGCTTGGCATCAGGTGGAATCCTTGCCAAGAGGAATCATGTGGAACTCGCCGTATTGGAAAAGCCTTGAGTCATTCTGTCACACGGAATCACCTTGGAAGCGCTCGTGCGGAACCTCATAGAAGAAACCAAGTGGCAGCCGAACGATCGGAGTCCATCCGATGGCCTTACGCTTGGATTCCAAGGGTAGCCGTCGCGGCAGGAATAGAGAGAAGGCCGCCCGACCAGAAGAGCCCTGGACTGCGAGCGTGCGAACGACGCGGGGCCGGCTGCGTCAGAACTACCCGCGGGCTTACGCAGGCAGCACGAGGACCAGCAACAACGGCCAAGCCGAGGCGCCGCGCGCAGCTGGGGCTGGAGTCCCACGGGCGACCCGCCCCCTCCGCCGGCAGGCACCGAAGGCGCGACAAGCTCTTCGGCTGCACGCGGCGCCAGGAGCAAGCTGGCCACGGTCCAGACCTCTGCACCAGGGCTGGGTGGACCGCTGCGGCAGTTCTTTGCCTCGGGGAGAGGAGTGCGTCAGCTTGAGGCGGCCAACTGTGGGGGGGAGCGCGAGACCCTGCCAGTTCCAGCGTCTAGCGCTGCAGCACAATCCACCCACGGGCTGTAAGCTTGTAGCACAAGCGACACCGACGACGAAGGCACCAATGCAGATCGACAACAGCACAACGCTGCCATGATCATTCCATAGTATGTCCACTTACTGTGGGCGACCCCAGATACGTAGGCAAGCGATACTATTTTTTGTTGTCTCGGGGGGGTCGTCGTTTGTTTGTCCTGGGCCGCACAGCCGCCCATGCAAGTTGCACGTTCCCGTACGTTGCAGTAGCAGAGCGTGCGCGTTTGGACTTGCCACAGCCGTCCACATCAGCTTGCTTAGTGATCCCACATCGAATCCCAGTTTGTTTCTTGATCGCGCCCTGTTGAGCGACGAAAGAACGGGTTCAATTGCACCGACGTGCCCGCGTTAGCTGCTCGTGTAAGGTCGCGCGTAACAGCCCTCGTCTCCAGGGTGGCGTGTTCTCCGGCTGCCCGGGTAGCCACCGCGTAAGGTCGCTATGCCATCTCGCGTAAGACCCGTTTGTTTCTCGTCGCTCGCTTGATGTTTGTCCAACGCCCCCGTCAGGTGGCACCCCGATTTGAGCATTCCGAGCCAGGGGTGGGACGTGTGGCAGTGCATGGACCAGCTGTTTGCTCCAGCGAGGCTGCGCAAGCCTCGAGGCAGCGCGCTTTGTTCGTCAGTGATCGTTGCGATTGTGAGCCGAATTGGCGCCCGCCACGCATGCATGATGTATCTTCAGCCTTCAAGCATGCGGCGCCTAGTGCCCCTGCACAGCAGATGCCTTATTGTAGTCCCCGCTGTCTGCAAGGATGGTGTTCAAGGCCTGCTCTCGTCATGCACGCGTCGCTTTGCTCCCGGGCTGCTTCTGTGTTTCGTGATTGTTTTTTTGTCCCGTCGTTGTCTTGCATCTTCCTGGCTCCGCTGCCCCGCAGTCATGTGGCGCTGCTGCTCCTTCTGCCACCCCTCTCTTTCCAGCGCTCCGCCATCGCATCGCCAGGCAGAACGGTGCTCGGCACGTGTAACCTGCGCGTGGCTTCCAGATGCTCCGCATGCGAATGCAGCAACGTGTGTGTTCCAGTTTCCTGGTACCAGAATCGGATTTCACGAACATGGGCGTAAGTTACGTTGGTGCCCTCCTGCCCAGCAATCCGATCACGCGACGTGCTGATGGCTTGGTTCGCCTCGTTGCACCGACAAGCCTAGAGAAGACAAGACCAGAGCATGCGCAAAAGAGTTCGCGCGAGAAGACCAGGCGGGTTGGGGATCATGGCGCCCCAGAAAATGCGGGACATGCTGTGCTCTGAAAGTGCCGGGTCATCTTCTACTGTGCGACACAAATTTCAGGTTTGAAGATCGTACCATGTAGCACCCGCCACATGTCGGAACGCAACGTGTTTCGTCTTGTAGGTGCCTTGGATCGTTCCCCTTGCTGTTTCTCCCGCTGCCCTGCCACGGGAGGAGTGCTGCACAGGATCCAGGTTCGGCGGCGCGCCCGAATCGTCGAATCGCAGGGTTGCCTCTGGTTCGACTCGCATCGCCTCTGCCTCGTTCCTGGGGGCGCCACCTGGCCACCCCACCGATCCCAGCCAGGCCCACCCTCGGGGGGCCAAGCCAGGAGGGGGTCGAAAAAGCACCGATCTTGGGCCCAAGGTGGGCCTTTTCCAGGATCTGTAAGGTGGCCAGCTGACGTCTCCCAGCCGGTTTGTTCCAGAACAACAGCGTACGTTCGACTGCACGTCGTCATTGCCTGTATGTTGTTGACCAGGTGCCCGAATTCAATATGTAAGCAGCAAGCGTGTGACACACACACACACACACACACACACACACACACCTTCGCCCGCGCATTGTAAATTGCATGGTGCAGCGCCGCCTCGGAAGGCCACTGGTCGTGGTGCAGTTCTTCGACGGTGCGCGTGTGGAGTTCACTACCCCAGGCGGATGCATTCATGTTGTGTTTTTTTGTCAGTTGGGATTGTTTTTGAGATTTGCGTCCCGTGCGATGTGTTTGTCGCTCAGATTGCATGTTTCCCGTTGGGATCCAGTCAGTATGTCAAGTTACCACGCAGCGTCTGCCAGGGTGAGGTGCATCCGTGTCTGACAGCATAAGACAGGCTTGGAAGATCTTTATTACAGGGGTATCATGCGTTGTTTTGAAAGATCTGCTTTGACAAACCATCTGCAGCCACAGGACTGCAAGGATTCTGCATGGTTCGATTCTTATCTCTGCGTATTGCGGACTTGACTTGGGCTGTGAGCAACCATCACGTTGGCGAGGCAGGGGGTGTGGACGTTCGTTTCCAATTGCAAGCTGACGCCTGTCACTTTTCGTTTGGCGGTTGTGTTCTCGTCCCCGTTCATGCGGTCTCTGCTGCAATGTCTCTCTGGATCCCGCGTTCTCCAGTTGATTCGCGCGGGACCCCGGGGACGCCAACTTGTGGGGACACGTTCCGCTTGCTGGACCCTCAAGGCGCTGTGTTGAGGCGCGGTCCTGCTGCGCCGGTGATCGACATTGTTCTCCTGCCCCGCTGCCGACTTCGTCGAAAGCGTGGCCACGGCCCTTGATAGAGAATGCTCCGTTCCAATTGCTCCCCATTGTGACGAACGAACAATACGTACCCATACCCATAGGAGGTTCGGAGGGAGGAGGACTGGCTGTGGATATGGGTGCGGGTTGTCGGACCCTGGGAGAGGCTCCCGTTCGACAACATGCACCCATAGCCCCCTCCGTCCCCCCTATGGGTATGGGTACGAGTCGTTCGTTCGTCATATTGCCCCTGACCGCCTGCTAGTTGCAGCTGTTTCCAGGCCGCTTGCACAACCCATCCCAGCCGATGTGCCCGCTCGGCCTCCGAAGCCCGGTCATGTGAGGTTTCCAGGGGTCTTGAGCATGTGATCGGAGGGGCGGCGTGGAATGGGACGTATGTATTTACATATAGATATCAGAGTGAGGGGGCCGAACGATCATTCACTTTCCCTGGGCGCTTGGCTGAAGTCAGGTTCTGCGATGCGGATTGCTGCTGTTGTTTACTGGTTGTGTGGTTGTGTGTTTGTTTGTTTGTTTGTTTGTTTGTTTGTTTGTTTGTTTGTTTGTGTGGTTGTTTGTTTGTTTGTGTGTTTGTTTGTTCGTGTGTTTGTTCGTTTGTTTTGATTGAGTTTTGTTATTGCTTGCTTGTCTGCCTGCCTGCCTGCCTGTCTGCGTGTTGTTGTTGGTTGTTGGTGGTTGTTTGTTGTTTGTTGTTTTAAGTTTTTTTGTCAGTTTTGTTGTTTAAGGTGTGTTGTTTGTTGTCGCCGGCACCCCCGCGACCCGGCCCGCGACCCTTTCGCAACCCACCCGCTACCCACTTGCGACCCACCCGCGACCCACACGCGAACCACCCTGCGACCAACCCACGATCCACCCGCGACCCACCGTGCGACCCGCCCGCGACCCACCTGCTACCCACCCCCGACCCACCCGCGACACTCCTGATAGTGATTGTGCCGCGGAGTGGGTTGTGTCGGGGGTGTGGTGGTGGTGGTGGCGTTGGTGGTGGCTGTGGTGGTGGTGCTGATGTGGTGTTTTGTTGTGGTGGTGGTGGTTATGGCTGTGGTGGTGGTGGTGGTGGTGGGGTGGTCTGTGGTGGTGGTGGTGTGTTGTGGTGGTGGTGGTGGCGGTGGTGGTGGTGGTGGTTGTGGTGTGTTGGTTTGTTGTGTTGGTGGTGGCGGTGGTGGTGGTGGTGGCAGGTTGTTGTGGTGGTGGAGGTGGTGGTTGTGGCGGTGGTGGTGATGGTTTGTGGTGGGTTGTGGTCGTCGCGGCGGTGATGGTGGTGGTGGTGTGGTGGTTTGTTGTGGTGGAGGTGTGGTGGTTTGCGGGTTGTGGTGGTGGTGGTGGTGGGTTGTGGTGGTGATAGTGGTTGTGGTGGCTGTGGAGATGGTGGTGGTGGTATGATGGGTTGCTGTGGTGTTGGTAGTGGTGGTGGATTGTTGATGTGGTGATGGTGGTGGGTTGTTGTGGTGGTGGTGGTGGTGGCTGTGGTGGTGGTGGTTGTGTGGTGGTTTGTGGTTGCGGTGGTGGGTTATGGTTGTGACGGTGGTAGTGGTGGTGGCGGTGCTGGTGGTGGCGTGGTGGCGCTGGTGGTGGTTGTGGCGATGGTGGTGGCGGTGGTGTTGGTGGGTTGTGGTGGTTTGGTGGTGGTGGTGTTGGGTTGTGGTGGTGGTGCGTTGTGGTGACGGGTGTGGTGGTGGTGGTGTTGTGGTCGTTTATGGTGGTGGTGGTGGTGACAGTTGTGGTGGTGGCGGTGTGCGGTGGGTTGTGGTGGGGAGGTGGTTGTGGTGGTGGTGGTGGGTTGTGGGGGTTGTGGTGGTGTTGGTGGTGGTGGTGGCGGTGGTGGTGGTGGTGGCGATGGTGGTTTTTGGTGGTGGTGGTGGTTGTGTGGCCTTCGAGTCTTCCCGTCACCGTGTCTTGGCTTTGGGTTGTAGTTCCAATTGGTACCTCCTGGGGTCTCGTCAGAGTCGGGTCCCGGGGGCGTCTGAGGAACATGTGTGAGGGCTCCTGGGCGCCTCTTGGGCGTCTCTGGGAACTTCGTAAGGGCCCCAGGTGGCTTTTGGGAAGCAAAGGATCGATATGGCAATTTGTTTTTTCCCGTCGTGGCTTCTGGACTCTCTCTGGTCATCGTCGCTACGGCTGCCGTTAGTGCTGCCGGCCGCTGCCAGCGCATGCGCCAGAACCGGCACCTAGGAAAGAGAGAGGAGGGACGGGGGGTTCGAACCCCCCCCCCACGGGAAGCTGGAAGAGAAAAGATCGGGTGAGTTAGAATATCCTGATCCTTTCCTGGGAGGGGGGGATTTGGACCCCCCCCTCTGGGAGGGGGGGGGGTGGTTGGGGGGGAGGGGGGACCCCTTGGTTTTGATCGACCTCGCCGAGTGTTGGGGGAGGGCCCACCCCCCGGTTCGAAACGCGCCGCCGAATGTTACCAAGGCAAGCGCCCGTGAGACGCGCCCTCTCATATTTGGGTGTCGGTGCAGACAGTAGTGCAATGCATGTGTTGCGAGCTACGTGGCGCAATCTACGTGTTGTAAGTAATTTCTGTTCGCAGTGACTTGGCAACTCCACTGCTCGCGCAACCATCCCACCCACACACCTGCAACTTGGTTTGCATAACCCATGCAGCGGCGATTGCGATGAGTGCTTGGCGTTGGCTGGTGCGTCTCTGCGGCCGCGCTAGCCCGCTTCTCCTAGCGCGCGAAGCGGCGAGCTAGTTTGGCGCGGCCGACGCGGCCGCGGTGGCGCTGACCTTGGGACATTTCCCAGCGGGCACTTCAGTACGAGTCGGCGACTTGGGCGGGCGCGGCATCATGGCAACATCGACAACGGTAGACGCGATGATGGTAGTAGCGGTGTTGGTGACGATGATGACAACGACGGCGGCAAGGCCTGTGACGGTGCCGATGTGGATCACGCCGGCGACGATGACGGCATCCTCGCGTCGGCGATGATTGCTTAGAACGGAGTTCGACATGCGCGCGCGGCCGCCGCGCGACAGCGGCCCGCATGGCGTTATTTGACACGGACGGTGTCCCCCATCGTGCCTTCGCTGCTGTCCCCAAGCCTACTCAGCCTCCAGCTTCGTCTGGCTGTCTCCAGCCCATCCCGCCACCGTCTTGGGCTGTGGGTTTCCAGGGCGTAGTGGGGTCATGGTCGTGCCCTGGGGTATCTTGGCTTCCAGGATGTAGGCCTCTTCCGATTCTCTCCGGGGCTGTGTTTGCAGTCTTTTGAGGCTTTCCTGGGAGTATGGAGAGTTGTCCGGCAGTCTGTTGGCAGGAGTTCTTCCTGGCAGTCTGTTGAGTCCTTGGGAGAGTTGTGAATCAATTTTGGAAAAGGGGGCGTCCAACAGTGTGGCGGGGGGGCCCTTTGGGGGAAGGCGCCCGTGCCCCCCTTGGGATCTTCGGAGATCGTTTTTGGTCGCGGGCCGTCTTCGACGCATTCAAGATCTCAGAAACGAGAATTTTGACATGCAGACACGTATGGTTTTCTTGATGACTTGGGCCTCGAGGGCACGCCCCGACGGCTTCCAAGCTGGCCCCGTTGACCCCCAAGACGGCTCCAGCACAGGCCCTTGGGTCCGAATTCGAGCATATTGGCAGTTAGGGTCCCCAGGAACGCATCCAGGGCTTCGTGAACCGTCACAAGCCGCATTCCGGAATCGCCCGGGGGCGTCTGGGAAACAAAGTTATCAATTGTTCCAGAATGTCCGATTCAATGTTGATTGCGTGTGAGCTTGTATGTTTGAATACAAGCTGGCCAGTGTACCTTCTCACGTCTACGACTCATTCTGGAGAGGGCGTCCCGTTCAGTGACTGCTGAACAGTGACGGGTAGCTCAGAAACTGGGGCGACGACGCAAGTGGATGGCACAACAACTTCGTGTATCCCCACCAGCCCATTCAGAAGCGATGCCCAGGGGAAATGAAGTGATCAGGGAAGTGGGGGAGCCTGCAGAAGAACAAAGGAAGGGGGAAGTCGTCCGATACCCGAAGAGGGTGAGGATGGTGGAGGAGAAGGAGGAGGAGGATGAGGACCTCCAGGTGCCTCTTGGGAGCTTCGGGGATCCTCTTGAAGCCTCTTGGGGGCCTTTGGGGCCGTCTGGGCGCCTCTTGGGGCCATCTTAGGGCGCTCTTGCTCTTGGGGCCATCTTGGAGGTGATCGATCAAAGATGAGGGGGTCCTAAATTCGCCCCTCCCCCCTCCCTTTGGAGCCCCAGAAGTTGCCTCTTGGGGCGCTCTTGGGGCCGTCTTGGGGCTCTCTTGGGACTCTCCTGGGGCCCTCTCGGGCCACCTTGGAGCCATCTTGAGGCCTCGGATGGCCATCGGAAGCGAAAAGGCAAGAACACACATGGATTTTCCTTAGGTTTTGAAGCGAGTTTGGCTTCTTAGAGGCCTCCATGGAGGTCTCGGAGGCGTCTTGGAGCCGTCTTGGAGCGTTATTGGGGCCTCTTGGAGCATCTTGGGAGCCGACTTGAGGCATCTGGGGCTATCTTGAGCCATCTTGGAGGCCATCTTGGGCTCTGAGGCCCTCTTGGAGCCATCTTGGTCGAAACAGTACCCTCTGACAACTCGCGGGGCGCCCAGTCCAGGTCCAGGGGAGGGGGTAGGGGCGAGGGGCCCGAAGGGGAAGAAGGGGGTTGGAAGAGGAGCCTCCCTAGACAACCTACGCCCTAAAGGGCTGGTGGGACTAAGTTTTTGTGGCAGCGGCTGCGGCGGCGGCATATGCGGCACTTGGCGCCTTCGGCAAGATGATGGCAAGACGATGCTTCGACGGTGCTATCGCACCTTCCCACGTTGCTCCGAGACGAGCCGGCGATGCAGTACCTGGAAGGCGCTGGGTAGCACATGTCCTCGTAAGGGCCACAGACGCCGACTGGCGCTCGATCAGGCTGCAGGTCCGTGGATCGACAGTCTGGGATGGGTTGGGCGGGTGTCCGATCGATTGAGCGTTCCTCGTTTCGGGGCGAGCCGGGCTGGCAGCATGGGGCCCCGAGACTGCAAGCTCTGGGTCACTTCGGGTCGTGGGGGTGCTGCTGCGCCGACCGAGTACCCCGACGTCGCCATGCTTTCCCAGCGTTGCCCCCTGCTGAGGTCCCGAGCCATTCCCTGGGATTGGCTTTCTGGAGGTGGAGGCCAAGGAGGAGGGGGAATGACCGCATGGGGCGGGGGGGGAGAGTAAGAGGGACGGATGAGGAAGCGGGGGGAAGGATGATTAATAGGATGAGGAGGAGTAGGAGGGGGAGGAGAAGGAGGAGGAGGAGGAAGAAGAGAAGGAGTAAGAGGAAGGAGGAAGGAGGAGCAGGAGGAGGAGGAGGGCAAGCAAACGGGCCAGAGGTCTGGATGCCTCTCGGAGCCTCTTGGAGTATCTCTTGGGCGCTTCTTCGTGGCCTCTTGGGATGTCTTGGGGGCCTCTTGGCGGTCCTGGGGGCTCTTGCGGGCCTCTTGGGGCCATCTTGGGGCCATCTTGGGACCTCTTGGGGCCGCCTGGGCGCCTCCTGGGGCCATCTCGGAGGAGATCGATCACAGAAGAGGAGAGCTCATTTTAGCGTCGCCCCCCCAAGAGGCCAAAATGGTGCCAAAACCCTAGTAAAACCAATGATCTCGGCTTCTCGCCGAGGCCATTTTGGGCGCTGTAACTACCCGCGACAGGCCCCCATCCAGGTCCAAGGGAGGGGGTAGGGTGGAGGGGTGAAACTCTCCCCGAAGGGGAAGAAGGGGGGTGGAAGAGGAAACTCCCTAAACCACCTACGCCCAGAGGGCTGGTTGGATTCCATCTCTAGAGCGCGTTCGAGTGCGGCAGCGTCTGGTAGTCGCTGAGAAGGCGCCGCTTTAGCTTCGTCCGTTCGCACAGATCCTGCGCCGATCTGGCGTGGATGTTAGCGCCGACCCGCAAAGGCCGGCAAGATGCCATGGGAGGCTCCCGTGATCGGAGGCATAGAGGTTGACACCAGCACCAATATCGGCGGTGTGCCTTCACCAAGGGAAGATGGCCCCGATCTCGGCGATGGTGGTAATGCTCTGGCCTCCCAGGTGGCCGAAAGGTTACCACCGGCACCAGCATCTATAGGATCATCCTCTCCCGGTGGAAGCACCCCCCTGTCTTGGTGTTGGTGCCAAGTTCCAAGCCTCCAAAAGCAAGCGATGTTTTCTATCCCAACCCCCGACTTCTCGGCGAAGTATGACGCCACTCAGAAAGGGAGGGAAACCCCGGGATACGCCCCCAGGGGGCTATTCAGACGCACCCCCATCGACGATGGACGCCCCCCTCGAATATCCCCGGGTGTGGTCCCACATTTCAGGTCCACTCGAAAACCTCCCAAAGCCAGGGGCAGGGGTCGACGTATCCATTGTGTTCAGTCGGGCCTGTCCGTCTACAGAAGGAACATTATTCAAAAATAGTTGAAACATAGTCGGGGGAAGAATGTGTTTTATTCTCCTCAATCAGAGCTTGCCTCTGTATGGGGTCCTAGCGGATTCATATGGTTAGGTTAGGTTTGTCGCCGATTTTCGCTGCACGCCCAGGTGCCCGGGTGCCGGGGGGTGCCCGGGACCCGGGTGCCCGGGGGCCGGGCGTGCCCGGGGGTGCTCTATAGCCCCATAGCCCTACAGCCTTATAGCCCTATAGCCCTGTAGCCCAATAGCCCTATAGCCCTACAACTCCACAGCCCTATAGCTCTATAGCCCTATAGCTCAACAGCCCTATAGCCCTATCGCCCTCTAGCTCCATAGCCCTATAGCCCTATGGCCCCCTAGCCCTCTATAGCCCTGATTGGGGCTTTTCTCCGGTACCGTTGAACACTGTTGGAGAATATGTTTGGCGTATGGCTTATCTTTCGTCCAAGAGCTGCCTGCAGAGGGCCATGCCCGACCCAACGCTTGTCACCCGCCACGAGCTGCCGCCGAAGCCGCCGCCCCCCGCGCGCCGCACCGAGACAGAGAGAGAGACCCGGCGAAGGCGCACCTTCGGGGCGCCGGCGGGCGGCGAGCGCTACGCGCGGCAGGCCCTCGCGCTGCTGCGCCGGGCGGTGCACCCCAGGGCGGCGGGGGGGGCGGTGCCCCTCTCCTTTCGGGTCGGGCGAAAGGGGGGGATTGGGAAAGGGGGGGGTTTGCGAAATCTGCTGCATGTAGCTGGTTTCGGCCCCGCCGACGGGCCCATTCCTCGATACACGGGCGCCTCCCGGCGCCGAGAGGCGCCGGTAAAATCAGCTACGTGAGCAGATTCTCACCCCCCCCCCCTTGCAAACCCCCCCTTTCGCCCGGCCTGATCCTTGCCTTCAGTCTGGCGTGTCCCTCTACGGGAGAAACAGATTGGAAAAACAATCAGCAATTAGTCTGGGGACGAATGTCTGAATAGTTGTTGATTTTTTGTTGTGCATGTTTTGTTTTGGGTACTCTCTGATTTGTTTCGTCCGAAGTCCGCCTGTCGGGAGACATGCCCCTTAACTTCAGTCGGGCGCGTCCCTCTACAGGAGGAATCTTTGAACAGTAATTAAAACATAGTCTGGGGGCGATGTCTTGAACCTTTGTTTGGGGTATTATCGCGTATGTGCTTGGGATGTTTTTGATTTTTCGTGCAAGATCCGCCTGTGGGCGATTTTGAGGACGTTTGTTGGGCCTTTTTTGCATATTGTTTGGGGTATGTGTTGACTTTTCGGCCCAAATCCGCCTGTCGGGGGACAGGCCCGACCTGATTCTTGCCTCGGGGGCGCCGGAGCGAGCGGCACGTGGAAGAAGCAGCTCCGGCAGCGGCGAGGCGCCCCAGCTTGCCCCCTGGGCCCACCTATAGGCACCGAGGAGTGTGTCCTGCGAACGGGCTGTGTCTTTTTTTTCTTCTCGCGAGCTGTTTTTGGAGCACTGCTTTCTGAGCCCGTCGTGCCTCCAACACCTCGGCTCCGTGTGTTCCAAGAGCACCGTTTTGTGCTAGTTGTTGGAACGTTCTTTGGTTTCAAGAGCATCTCACTGTGGGCCAATAGGAGTGCCAGGCTGGTGGGTCCCTGCCTGCTCCCGCAATTGGCCGGCAAGCAGGTGCCCCACGGGAAGCGCTTGCCCCCCGATGACCCCAGGGACCCACGGACGCTCTGGGGCAGCTCAGGGCCCCCAAAGATCGACGGATCGCATGCTTCAAGATGTCTTTCCGCAAGTTCTTTTTTGTTCGTCTGGAGGGGGTAGAAGTTTGGGTTTGTTCTTGAGTGTCTCCTCGTCCCCTTCCTCCTCTTCCTCCTCCTCCTCCTCCTCCTCCTCCTCCTCCTCCTCCTCCTCCTCCTACTCCTCCCCCTCCTCCTCCTCCTCCTCCTCCTCCTTCAATCCTCCTTCCCCTCGACTCTTCTCCACCTCGCCTCCGCCCGTGGCGGGTGGGGGGGGATACCACTAGTCCAGGGCAGCCTGAGGGGGGATAGACTCAGGGAAGTAAATTACCGACCCCAGTCGCACATTGATCGCCGATGGGGGCCCGATAGCCCATCCCAGTATCGGGGCATGCCGCCGACCCATCGGCGATGTATCGCCGCTTCCAGGTCGATGCTCCCCCCCTCCCTTTTAGCCTGTGCGTCCAGAAAGGAGCGCTCGGACCGTGATGCGCTGACCCCCCCTCCTCCTAGCCCCCCCCCTCTTCGGAGCCCTCGCTCCCCGCCCGCTGCCTGCCCTACGGCAGGTTCGCCTCGTGTCGACCCTCGGCGAGCCCGCACCTGGCGTTCAAGGTTGAGCGCCGCACGGAACGACCGGCACACGCCGATCGTTCCATGCTGAGCGATCCACACGGCGTCAGGAGCCACAGCCAGGGTCGTCGCGGCGCGAACCTACCGCACTTGCTCTCCCTCCCCGCTCTCTCTCTCTCTCTCTCTCTCGCTCGCGCGCTCCCGGCGTGAAGCCGCCTCGCGCGGCACTCCTCGCCTGCCCATGGTGGTCTGGCGCCTCACGTTGTGGCGCCAGTGTGTGGCGCTCTCCCCCACGCCGCAGAGGACACCCGCGGCGTGGGCTCCCCTTGTGCTCGCCCGACCCCTCCCTCTCTCCCCTCCCTCTCCCTTCCCTCCCTCTCAGCCCTCCTCTTCGTCGCCTCTCTCTCTCTCTCTCTCTCTCTCTCTCTCCGCGAGGCGCCGCGCGGCGCCGACGCATTCGGCGCGAGGCGCGTGCCTGGCCGGCCCGCGCCGCGGCGCGTGCGCGCTGGGCCGCCCGTCCCCGCGCACACCCCCGCTGGCTGGCTCGCCCGCGCGCCTGCCCGCCGGACCCGCACGGCGAGCCTGCCGTCGCTGCGCAGGTGGCCACCACCCAGGCAAGAACACACACGCACACACACACACAAACAAAAACAAAACAACTGGGGGAAAAAACAACAAAGAAACGCCGCATGTCTGGGCAGCCACCCGCCATATCCACGCCCGTCGTTCGATCCCGCCCGCCGGGGGCGCGATGTTCTGAGCCGATATGCGGCTCGGCTCTCCCGCGTCGGCCGGGGCCGGCGGGGAGGCGGGCGCGGCGAGATGCGGTGTGGCTCCGATGCGGGACGATTCGCCGGCGATCCGTGCCGTTTCCGACCCGATCGGGTTTCGCGATGCGGCCGGGCGCAGGCCGTCGCCTGGGGAGCGCGGCTAGGCCCAGCCGGGCGCGCCAGGCGGCAACGGGCGGCGTCCTGGAGGAAGTGCGGTGCCGTACTGCGGGGTGGCGCCTGCCAGTGGCGGTTTTGCACTTCTCTTCTTGGGCGCGCGGAGGCAGGCTGCAGTCTTGATCGTCGAGCGCCCAGTTTCTAAGAGGACTCCACGCGGCGGTGCGCGAGGCTCCGCAACGACACCACGACGGTTCTGCAGGGAGTTGCCTGCCTGGCCAGTCGTGGCGAGTCGTGGCGGTTTTGCACTTTCCCTCTGGGCGCGCGGAGGCAGGCTGGAGTCTGATCGTCGAGCGCGCAGATTGTAAGAGATCTCCGCGAGGCGGTTCGCAAGACTCCGCGAAGATTCCGCGAGGACTCCGTGAGGTGACTGCAGGCCCGACACAGCTTCTGAGGGACCGCTCGGGCCTGAGCCCAGAGGTCTGGGTGCCTTGATTTCGACCCCCTCTTGCTCCTCCTCCTCCTCGTCCTCCTGCTCCTCCTCCTCCTGCTCCTCCTGCTGCTGCTCCTCCTCCTCCTCCTCCTCCTCCTCCTCCTCATCCTCCTCTCCTCCTCCTCCTCCTCCTCCTCCTCCTCCTCTTGCTCCTCCTCCTCCTCCTCCTCCTCCTCCTCCTGCTCCTCCTGCTCCTCCTCCTCCTCTTCTTCCTCCTCCTCCTCCTCCTCCTCCTCCTCCTCCTCCTCCTACTCCTCGTCATCCTCCTCTTGCTTCTCCTCCTTCATTTCTTCTCCTGATGCATCACTCCTCCATCCCGCGTCGTCCCCTGACGGTCCCGAGGCCCGGCGAGGGCCTCTGGAGGCCAAGAACGAGGCCAAGAATTGTCAGGAGACTCCCGTCGTGCTTGGGGTTCGCGGCGCAAACATGTCTGGGCAGGGGCCGCCTGGACCGGGCCGCGCGTCCCCTCCGCGGGCGGCAGGCCGAGGACGACGCAGCCGCGGTCAGCGCGGTGCTCGCGGCCTCGCAGCTGCGGCGGGCGGCGCTGCTGCTGCACCAGCGGGGGGTCCTTGGGCCGGAGCTCGCCGCTGGGCAGGAGCTCCAGGCCGCCCAAGGGGGCGACGGAGGAGGAGGAGGAGGAGGAGGAGAAGGAGGAGGAGGAAGAGGAGGAGGAGGAGGAGGAGGAGGAGGAGCAGGAGCAGGAGCAGGAGCAGGAGCAAGAGGAGGAGGAGGAGGAGGAGGAGGGAGGAGGAGGAGGGAGGAGGAGGAGGAGGAGAGCAGGAGGAGCAGGAGGAGGAGGAGGAGGAGGAGGAGGACGAGGAGGAGGGAGGAGGAGGAGGAGGAGGAGGAGGAGGAGGAGGAGGTGTAGAGGAGGAGGAGCAGGAGGAGGGGCAGGAGGAGGAGCAGGAGGAGCAGGAGGAGCAGGAGGAGGAGGAGGAGGAGGAGGAGGAGGAGCAGGAGGAGCAGGAGGAGGAGGAGGTGGAGGAGGAGCAGCAGGAGCAGGAGCAGGAGGAGGAAGGAGGAGGAGGAGGTGGAGGAAGCACGGCGGGCCTGGGGCTGGGGCTTGCCGCTTGGCAGGACGGCCTGCAGAGCGCCAGGCCGCCCGACGGGGATCCAAGGTGATTCGGAGGAGGGCCAGTGGAGACAACGGCGACATCCCTGGCGTTGTTCGTCGGCGCCACGCGTGGGTCCGCCTCGAAACACGAGTCACGATGGACCCCGGGAGAGGTCCCGGGGCCGATTTTCACCAGACTTGGGCCAGGCGGGAGAGCCGCCGGTGTCTCAACTGGTCGCCGAGCGTCGACATCTTGCCGCGTCGCCGATGTGTCGGCGATGCGGCTCGATTTGGATTCGGATGTTCTCCGATTTGACGTCTCCGAGGCACCGCCGATGCATGGCCGATGCGGTGTGGTCCTCTGGCCGCCCCGTCTACTCCGACCCCATCTTGGCGGCCTCCACAAGCGCCCTGCCCCGTCTACTCCGACCCCATATTGGCGGCCTCTACGATCGCATTGATGCGTTCCCGATCGCGGCGGCCCTGGGAGGGGAAGGGGGTGATGTCCCGCAGCCAGAGCTCGACGACAACTCGAGGCAAGCGGCGCTAACACTTCAGCTGCCTGTTTGGTGGCCGTAGTCATAGCTCAGCTTTTGTGCCATCGCAGGCGTTTGCATACGCGTTCGTGGCCTCTTGGGGGTCTCTAGGGGCCTCTTGAGGACTATTGAGGGCCTCCTGGGCTCTCTGGGAGACCTCTTGGGGCCTCCTGGGGTCCTCGTGGGGCGGAAGGCTCGAATTGGTGGTTCGTGTTTCCTCTCTTGGGCCCCTCTTGGGGCCGCCTTGGGGCCCCCTCTTGGGCGATCTTGGACGCCTCTGGGGCCGTTTCGGGGTCGCCTTGGACCACCTTGAGGCCCTTGTGGAGGCCTCGCCATTTTGGAGCGTCGCAAGTCCGAACACGCGTGACTTTTGGCCATCTTTGGGGTCCTCTTGGAGCGCTTTCGGGGGATAATTTGGGGGCTCTTGGGCCGTCTTGGGGCCATCTTTGGCGTCTTGGAGCGCTCTTGGGCCGTGATTCCGGTTCGTGAGACCTTTTGGAGCTGCCTTGAGGTTCCTTGCGCCGCTCCTGGGGTGATCTGGAGGACCCCAAAAACCGCCACCGGAAGCAACACCATCTCTGATCCGAGTCTGCCCGGACCTTGCCAGGGGCTCACGGGGGTTACTTTTCGCCTAGGGACCCCTAGGGGCGGCCCGCGAACTAGAAAATACAGATCCAGTTACCAGAGATCTCAGCACGCCTCTGGCCCGTTGGGCCCGCGTACTGTGTCATGGAAGGCTGTACTTTATTACATCAGAGCGAGAGGGACGAACGGTCATTCAATGTCCCTGGGTGCGTGGCTGAAGTGGGACTCCGCGGCGCGGATTATGCTTGCTGTTGCGTTGCATTGTTGTTGTCGTCGTCGTCGTCCCCCTCGCGACCCGGCCCGCGACCCACCCGCGACCCACCAGCATCCTACCCGCGACCCACCCGCGACCCACCCGCGACCCACCCGCGACCCACCCGCGATCACCCGCGACCCACCCGCGACCCACCACGCGACCCGCCTGCGACCCACCCGCGACCCACCCGCGACCCACCCGCGACGCCCCCGTGACCTGGCCCGCGGCCCACCCGCGACCCACCCGCGACCCACCCGCGACCAAGCCGCGACCCAGCCGCGACCCATCTGCGACCCACCCCGAGACCCACCCGCAATCCACCCGCGACCCACCCGCGACCCACCAGTCCACCCGCCTTCGACCCACCCGCGACCCACCCGCGACCCACCCGCAACCCACCCGCGATCCACCCACAGTGTTTTGACGACAAAATCGGCGCTTGCGGCGGGCCCGTTTTACAATTAGTGAACATGTGGCGCTTGCGGCGGGTTTTTCTTCAAAGCCTCGCAGACTGCCGACGCCCCCTCCGCCGCCCCCTCACTCTTATCCGCAACTGCGGGGTGCTACGCACGTGTTCTCTTAGGGTCTGGCGGTGGCGCTGACACTGCGGTGCGGAGAGCTGCTGGCACACGCGAAGCGTTCAGAGCAGTTTCAATCGTGTCGGTTCTAAACTGCCTATCCGGAGGGATTCGCCTCGAGCCGCTGGTCCCCTCCTGTGGTCGACCCGTGGTGACAGTTTGAGAGGAATCGTCCTGGATTGTCCTGGCCATTCCCAAGGTTTTGTTGTGGCAGCGCCATGCCTTGGGGGGCCGTCCTGTGGCAACTGTTTGGGTGCATTGCTGGTTTCCTCTCGGGCCATCTTGGGGCCTCCCCGTGCATCAATAAACCTCCGTTTGCCGAATCGTTCGAATTCTAACACGCCCGTATCGTTAGTGTGGTTCAGGCTTGTTTCTGCGGCTTGGAGCCTTAGCTCGTGAACCGAATCGATCGAGTGGTAACGGATCGGTCGCATCAGCCCATGCATGCCAGCTTAGGGGGACGCAGTGCCTTTGAAGGAGTCATGCTGGGCAAGCAGGGGCAGCACGGCACAGGCTGGCGCGCGACAGGTGGCGGAGTAGAAGATGAGGCGGATGAGGACAGGGAAGAAGGGGCGGATGGGTGAGAGAGAGAGGATTCGCCCGCAATTCTACATCATATCACCGCATCCCATAGCATAATAGATGAGGAGGAGACAGAAAAGAGCGGAAGGCCGCATGACATGGGCAACACACATTAGTGGATGGTAGGGGTAGGGGTCAGGGGTTATGAGGTGGCGGTCTTGGAGGTATTCGGCAGGGGAGGATGGGTGGAACCGAGGAGGGAGGGAGTAGAGAGAAGGGAGGGAGGGAGGAGACAGGGAGGAGCGAGGGAGGTAGGCGGAAGTGCCAGTCAGGAAACATCGAACAGCATATTCCATGCAGGAAGGAGGGAGAGGAAGGCCCCGCAGGAAGACAGCCCTTTCTGGCCTGCCCATGGAGGTCCCCTCCGATGGCCTGCCCATGGAGCCTCTGGGGCCGTGGCGGGGAGGGAGCGAGGAAGGCGGGAGGTAGGAGGTAAGCGGGATGCGGGAGGGAGTTCAGCAGGAGGCGGGAGGTGGGATGGCGGATGGAATCACCATGGGAATTACTATACACATCGCACAATCGTCAGAGTGAGGGTGCCGAACGGTCTTCAGGGTGAGGAGCCGAGCGGTCTTACATCATCCCTGGATGCGTGCCTGATTTGAGCGTCGCGATGAGGTTTATTACTGTTGTTTGGTGTTTGTGTTTGTCGTTGTCGTCGTCCTCGCCCGCGACCCAACTGCCACCCACCCGCAGACCCGCCCGCGATCCACCCGCGACCCACCTACCCACCCATGTTCGGCGTCTGCGGCGGGCTCGTCGTGCAATGGGTTAAGAATCAGCGTCTGCAGCGGGTTTCTTAAGAGCCTCGCAGGCCGCCATTGACCCCGCCGCCCCCTCACTCTTATGCGCGACTGCGGGAGCCATGGTTCTATGCAAAGCACGGGTGGCTCACCTGCAAACCTTGCTGCGAGGTATGCTACCGTGATGGCTCTACCAGCCCAGTGGGATGGCTGGAGGAGGGTACGAGAGTCGAGGAACCAACACTGACCGCCCCTGGCGCGCTCCGCGCCCCAGTCCGTCTTCCTGTTTCTCACCTGCCTCGCGAGAGTCGCAGCTGCATATGGGGCATGTTAGGTAGGGCCTCGCTCTCGAGAGTCGAAAGACATGCCGTCTCTTCCCCCGGCGGAAGGTTGCGGAAGTAAAACGAGGGCGCCTCCGCCGGCAGAAGGTCGGCGGAGGCTGGCAGAAGTCAAAAGTCACATTCCAAGTGATGACCGCATTTGTTTTGCTCCGGGGCTTCCAGCCGGGTATAGCCAGGACCCCGGGTAAGGGGACCCGGTTAGTGGTAGGGCCCCGGGGCCCCTCAATTGGCCAGATTCAATAAACCAGGTTTGCCGTAACTGGTGTTTTTCGGGCGACGGCAGTTCCGGTTAGTGGAAATGGGACGGGGGGGCGCCCCCGTTACAAATCACTAAACCAGGTTCCGTTAAACCCAGTTCTGCCAATGCCCGATCCAGAACCCCTCACAGGGCTTGGCCCTTCGCCAGGACAGTGCTGTTCCTCGAGGGGGGAGGGGGCGCAGCGGCCCCGCCTCCTCGATCCTCCTCGATGCTTCCCAGTCCTCCCTGGCCCTCCTCGATCCTCGATCCTCCCCCGAGGTCCTCCTGAAGCCTCGGCCCTCCTCCATCGATCCTCCCCAGTCCTCCGCGGCCTTGGATCCTCGGTCCCCCTCGATCCTCCTCGACCCTCGACCCTCCAGGGAGGGGGGCGCAGCAGCTGCGGGGGAGGCGGGTGCGGCAGCGCCGCCCGAGGACCACCCCGAGGGCCACCGGGTCGCCAGCTTGGCGCTGCCGCCGAGCCCGGACGAGGCCCTGCGCCGCAGCCGGGCGGCGTGTGCTGGGGCCCCAGCGGAGGCCGTTGCCCATCGAGGTCGGGCCGGGCCGGAGGAGGAGGAGGAGGAGGAGGAGGAGGAGGAGGAGGAGGAGGAGGAGAACGAGGAGCAGGAGGATGAGGAGAAGAAGAAGAAGGAGGAGGAGGAGGAGGAGGAGGAGGAGGAGGAGGAGTTCGGGTGGGCACGCGACGAGCGGCGAGGAGGCTTTCGGAAGTTTTCGGGAGTTTGGGGGACGCGGGATGTTTCCATCAGCGGCGCCTCCTCGAGAGCATCGTAGGGGGTGGAATCGTCCCCAACGGCCGCCGTAGAGCCGACTTCTGCTGCGGATGCCACGAGCGGGGGGTTCGTAGAGGGAGGGTTATCCGAAGGTGGGGCTGGGGAACGGGCCCAGCTGGATGCTCCCGTTTCACGCGTGTCCTTCTTCCAGGGGCCGTTCGGAGCGACTTCGTGTCCAACCCCACCTTTGCCCCATGCACCAGCTTTCGGCCCCCCCGGACAAGGCAAGGATGGGGGCGAGGCGCAGGGGAGGATGCATCGACAGCCCATCGTCCACTGATCGCCGGTAGGGGCCAGAGGGGGGTCTCGGCTCGCCTGGCGGTGTTGCGCGATCGGCTTTACACGCCGGTCGCTGGAAGTAAGTATTTTTGGATTCCCAGATCCCAATCTACTTCAAGCGCCTTCCTACTTCAAGAATCGACACGCTTTTGCTGTGTTTTGTTATTCCCTGGGGGGGGGGCCTGGACCCAATCAACTTAATCCGCCTTCCTACTTCATGTTTTTACCTACTTCTTCCGACCGACGTGTACGGGTCCGCTCGCGGCTGTCCATCGAGGTCGGGGGCTGGGCCCAGGCAATCGGCGGGCCGCCGGGCGGCCGGGATCGGGACTGGGAGCAGGGGTCGACCCGGACCCCCTCGCGTTGTGAATAGATCACGACGGTGGGTTTCTCCTATTTTCAACCTCGGGGGGCTCTTACGTAGCCTCGAGATCGCCAAAAAAGATTCAGGATGGAAAACCGGTCCCAGGGGAGGGGTCGAGGCCTCTGGGTGTCGACGTTGTGAAGAAAGACGACGTCGAGAGTCTGGGCTGGTAGCAGGGGGAGGGCACGCAGAGGGCGTGTTCGCCCGATGTGGGGCGAGGGGGCAGACCCAGCTTGAGGCGAAGAGTTCCCACTTCCGAAGCCTGAGCGATGCTCCTCGAACCCCAGCTTCTGCCCTGCGACACCTGCACGCGCCACCGAAGGGGGGGAGGCGGAGGAGGAGGAGGAGGCGGAGGAGGAGGACGAAGAGGAGGAGGAGGAGGAGGAGGAGGAGGAGGAGGAGGAGAATGACGGAAGGAGGAGGTGGAGGCGAGAGAGAGGAGGAGGAGGAGGAGGAGGGAGGAGGAGGGAGAGGACGAGAAGGAGGAGGAGGAAGAAGACGAAGAGCAGGAGGAGGACGACGACGAAGAGGAGGAGGGAGGAGGAGGAGGAGGAGGAGGAGGAGGAGGAGGAGGAGGAGGAGGAGGAGCAGAAGGAGGCGGAGGCGAAGAGAGGGCCACCGCGTCAGGCGAGCCCGTCGCACGACAGAGGGACAATTGTGGACAGGGTGTCGTGGCGCTGCTCTTGGCGCATCTTCTGCAGAGGACCGTCGGGCTCGTGCCTTCGCAGTGCCAGAGCCTGTTGGGGCTGGGAGCGGGAGCGATCGGGACCTGGGCGTTCTGGACGGTGACCGTGGACCGGGCGGGGGCTAGGACGAGGATGACCTAAACTTTCGCTCTCGGAGCGTTCTAGAACTCTCTGAGAAGGCCGCGGCGCCCAATGCATCGTCCAGAGCCGCCGGATCTCAGAGGTTCTCGATTCATCCTATCCTCGCCAGAGTTTGTCCTCGTCCTGGCTTCGTCTCCGCGGAGGCTGGAGTCGAGACGGTCGAGGGTCGAGGTCGAGTTCGGGATGCGGGTTGGTGGCCGCCAGCGATCGGGTGGGGCTGGCCCGTTCGACGGGGCCAGCTCTGACCTCCTCTTCGGCATCGGGGCGTGTACTCTTCGATGGATTGGCCTTCGGGGTATCGATCCCTCAATTCGTTTTTGGCCCCTTGGTCGGTCACTCGCGCGCGGATTATGTGGCGCTTCGGGGTGGGTCGTGCTGGCTGGACCGGGGCCGGGACGAGACTTCCGATCGACTCAGATCGGGGACGGCTTCTGAGGCCGACATTGAGGCGACGCTCGGCGAAGCGGCGCTCGACGGCGGGATGCAAGAAACTGCTGGCTGAAAGGGCAAGATGGGGCAGATCGGGCTTTGCCCCACTCCTGCATCCTGGTCCTTTCCTCTCCGCCCTCCGCAAAGCGCAACGCCCACTCATCCTCCTCTGTCACGCTGAGCAGGGACGTCCCCAGCTCCTTCAGCCAGCTTGAGGCGCATCACTGCTCGGAGGGATGGCCTGGCTTCTGGAGAGGGCAGAAGGCAGCGCTGGCATGAAAAGTCATTCTGGCTGCTGGTCGTTGAAGTATTATTCCTGTTAGTTGAGGTCTGAAGGTTGTCATTGTTTGATGCGGGGTTCCGAGGCCAGAACGTTCCCGCTTGATTTGCATCATTTCCGCTTGCTCTGGGGGGGGGGGGCAGGCGTTGCTTTTGAGGTCGCTTGCGTGGTGAAAGCCGTTAGGTCGCGAGACGGCCATGAGGTTGCCAGGGGACGGATGCAAGGTGGCGGTGAGCAAAAGCCGAAGCAGCTGCTCAGACCGCTAATTTTCTCGCCAGTCCGGTGGCTTCGCTCACGAACGTGTCCTGTCTTCATCTCGAGTAGGCCTCGCATTGCCGACGGTCCCTGCTTCAATTTTGCCCAGAGACCTTCAAGAGAAATCACCGAACATTCGGGCGTAGCCCGAATTCGCTTCTCGCGAGGTAATCTGGACTGCACTGGTAATCGGAGGTACTCTCGGCCGCCAAGGGCGCAACCTATGGCACAACCGAAAGGAAACGTTTTTTTTCTCGGCCGCCAAGGGTGCAACCGATGGCGCAACCAACAGGAGACGGTTTGATTCTTGACCGCCGAGGACGCAACCAATGGCGGTACCGCAAGGAGACGGTTTTATTCCCGGCCGCCGAGGGAGCAACGTATGGCACAACCGATGGGATTCGGTTTTATTCTAGTGCGCCGAGGGCGCAACCTATGGCGCAACCTGTTGCGTTGAGCCGCTCTCTTGAACCGCAAGCGGGCCAGCGAGGGCGTCGAGGACCGAGGTGCCAGGAGAAGGAGGACGAGCAGGAGAAGGAATACGAGACACGAGGACGATGTCCTAGACGAGGACGACGAGGAGGAGTTGGAGCAGGAGGAAGACGAGGAAGAAGAGGATGATGAGGAGGAGGGCGAGGAGGATGACGACGACGACGATCAGGATGGGGAGGAGGATGGGGAGGAATACGAGTACTACGAGGACGAAGTGTGGGCATTCGACTGCGTTCGAGGCTAGGCCCGATTTATGCTCGCCGGTTGGGCTGTCGGTGAGGCCCAAGCGGCGAGCTGTCTTTTGATTTCCAGTCTCGTTCTTACCATCCTTGTGCCCTCTCCCCGTCTCTTTATCCTGTGGGCGTTATCCGCGCTTGCCGAGCATGCATGAGGCATTACAGGTGGCATCGTGTTATAGTTCAGCGCGAGGCGTCGTGCACTGCGGTCGTACAACCCCGATGGAGCAGGAGCGTTCTTGCACCTCGCTCCCCTCTGCGCCTCCTTCGTCTGTGAGGTTCTCTTCGGCCGCTGCCTGGCGAGGCTGCGCGCGCGCATCCTCGTGAACCCTGGGCAGTTGTATCTTTGGCGGGGCGCCGCTGGGGCACCTCCGCGATGCCTGGCCAGGGCCATCCTGACTGATCCCCCCCCTGGCTGATGCTCAGAGTATGCAGGGACCCTTCTGGCCCCGGCCAGGTCCCAGAAGGATCCTGGCCGGGCATGGTGGTATTGCGTACCGACGCAGAGACAACGAGGGAGGCGTCTTGGCTCCGGCCAGCGATCACGGCGGCCCCTCGCGCTTCAAGGCCGAAGCTGACCCGGGCCCGGAGTGTTGCTCCAGGCCTCCCAGATGGGGCCGTAGCAGATGGGGTCGGAGGATCGCGTCGCATCGACGGTACACCGGCGATGCGGCTCGACGTGGAGCCCGATGTTCTCCACTCTGGCGTCGCCGATGCATCGCCGATGTCACCGACGCATCACCGGTGCGTCAGCGATGTATCGCCGATGCATCGGCGATCGGGCGCGGCCCTCCGACCCCATCCCCAGCAAGGAGGCCTCGAGGTGCCGATGGGGGCTGCAGGGCGCATCTCGGCCAGTGCCAGGGGATGTCAGCACCGAGGGGGCCGCCAGCTCCTCCTGGAGGTTGGGCATGTGTTTGATGGTTCCTGCTGTCTCGGGGGGGGCTCTGGAGTCAAGCAGTTGCGAAGCGTCCTGGCTCGCCTATGGGCCCACCGAAGAATGTTCTAAGAGCCTTGTGCGGTTTGCACGAGATGTTCTTAGAACATTTCTGGCTGGGACGGTCATGTGTTCGCACATCGGGTTTTTGGTCTAAGAACATTGTTTGTGCTGTTGCTTTTGATTAAAAACGGATTATGAGAACATGTCGTGGTAGGCCTATAGGAGTGCCCTTTGGGCCTCATTTCTTTGAGGAGTTGGCGTTTCCTCGAGGAAGCGGCGAAGCCCCCCAGTGGTGACCGCCCTTGGCGTTGCGTGCCTGGGCACACGAGGCAGAGGACAGTGCGCAGGCAGCCGAAGGGAAACTACATAGTTCTAAACTTTCGGAGGTCCACTTGGATTTCTCGGATCGTCGCTGGTTCCCTCTCTTGGCGCGCGGATTGTGTCATGTGCTGCGCCAGAGACGCCGTCAGGGTGTCGAGCGCCGGTCAACCAAAATGAGTGTGAGGACCTCCAGACAAGTTTCTGTTTATGCAGTCCTTTGTTCCTCTAGTCGGCCGCGGGAGGAATGGTAGAATACTTGAGCAATGATTGTTGGGCATGCTCGCCGGTTCGGTTCATCCGTGGCCCGATGCCGCTGCGAATATGTCAGCACGGACATCCCAGGGTCTTACGCCCTCACGTTGCAGGTCCTCCCTGCTCTCTGCTATCAGCTCTCGTGGGGTGGGGTCTACATTTCAAAAACATGTGTCTTGAACTGGGCACTGTATTGCAGACCCCGCTCCTCCTACTCTGTGTTTCTTATTTGTCGATGCGGTTAGCCAGCTATAATGTACACCCTTATGTCCTACGCTTGTATATGTGCATATCATTACCATCAGCTCTCTGCGACCTGTTGTCTATGATAATGTAAACACTATATAGTCAAGTCTCGATTCAAACATTTACTGTTACGCGCATGCGATGTACACTTCACTGTACCTGCTCTCCACCGTTTTGGTGTACGCCAAGCTGCTTCTTTCTGCTTTCTATACGTACAACCCAGCTGCATGCGGCAAGTCCTGCCACGGTGCAAGCCCAACATTATGTTTGACGACTGTGCGAGGGGGGTGGAGGGGTGCGGGAGGCCGTCCCGTGTTGCACCGTGTTTTGTTTGCAGGCTTTGGAGAGCCGTGATGACGACAATGATGATGATGGTGGTGATGAACATGATGCTGATGTCGATGATGACGTTGGTGATGATAAAGAGGAGGGGCAGGAGGAGGACGAGGAGGAGAAGGAAGAGGAAGGCCGTCACATGTGACACCTTTCGACTTCACTGTTTGAATAGATCGCATGGGACTTGTTTATACCGTCTTGGAGCTGTCTTGGCCTGCTGAGAGGCAGTATTGGGGGTCCCTTGGGGCTCTCTTTGGCCGTCCTGGGGCTCTACTGGAAGTATGTTGGGTGTATGGGGGCCGTCGTGGGGCCGTCTTGGCGCCATTTTGGCCTGTCGAAGAGCTTTATAAGACCCTCGTGGGGGCCTCTTGGGCCGTCTTGCGGCCATCATGGAGGCTTCTTGGCCGTCTTGAGCTGACGGAAGCCCGACAAGGTGAGACTGCGACAATAATTGGAGGCTCCTCCGTGAAATCAATGGTGCTGGCTCCTTCGGACCCTGTTGGAGATTCTCGTGTGGCCCTTCCTGGCCCCTCTTAGAGGCACCTGGGGCTGTCTTTGGTGCATTTTCGTTGGCCTTCGGGTCATCTCGGCTCGTTGTCGAGGCGTCTTGGGGACCCTGTTGGGGGTTCTCTTGTGGCCTTTTTGGGCCCCTCCTAGGGGCACCTGGGGCTTGCTGACTGGCTCTGGGCGTTTACGAAACAGCCCTGCCCTGCTCGAGTCCTGCCATGGGTGCGTTTGCTAAACGGCTTCGCCTGTCGGGGTGCTTCCTATGAGGGTGCTTTTCCTGCTGTCTGACACACCGCAGGGGAGCAAGAAATAAGTATAATGATACGTTCCAAGATTTCCAAGGCTTCCAGGATCCCCTAGCTTTCCGAACGTTCCACACGGGCTGCAAAAGCGAGGGCCGTCAGATACTGTGCAACTCACGGAACACATCCTGATGCAATCTTATTATGACATCTTTCGCGCCCTCGCATCCCCCCACTGTTGCAACACATGTAAGCCGCGCCAGATTGGTTTGCAAATCCTGGGACGCATCCGGAGCCCATCTGGCCATGACGTATCTTTCGCCCCGACACCCCTCCGCGCTGGTGCGGCCCGAGCGGGGCGCGGGAACACTGCCTCCTCCTCCCCCTCCTCCTCCCTCCTCCTCCTCCTCCTCCTCCTCCTCCTCCTCCTCCTCCCTCCTCCTCCTCCTCCTCTCCTCCTCCTCCCTCCTCCTCCTCCTCCTCCTCCTTCCTCCTCCTCCTCCTCCTCCTCCTCCTCCTCCTCCTCCTCCCCTCCTCCTCCTCCTCCTCCTCCTCCCCCTCCCTCCCCCTCCTCCTCCTCCTCCTCCCCCTCCTCCTCCTCCTCCTCCCTCCTCCTCCTCCTCCTCCTCTCCTCCTCCCTCCTCCTCCTCCTCCTCCTCCTCCTCCTCCTCCTCCTCCTCCTCCCTCCTCCCTCCTCCTCCGCCTCCTCCTCCTCCTCCTCCTCCTCCTCCTCCTCCTCCTCCTCCCCCTCCTCCCCCTCCTCCCCCTCCTCCTCCTCCTCCTCCCCCTCCTCCTCCTCCTCCCCCCTCAGCCTCTGGCGGCATCGCGGGCCGCCGCGCCCCCCCCGGCCGACCCCGCGAGCTCTCCCCGGCCCGCGCGGCCGCCGGAGCAGCCACGGAGGCGCTGGCGGAGAGGCGCCCGGGGTCGCGCGGCGGCCCCGGGCGGTGCATACCGGAAGGGGAGGAGGCAGACGAGGACGAGGATGACGAGGAGGGCGAGGAGGGCGAGGAGGACGAGGAGGACGAAGAGGAGGACGAGGAGGCCGAGGACGAGGAGGACGAGGAGGACGAGGAGGCCGAGGACGACGAGGAGGACAAGGAGACAGACGAGGACGACGAGGACGAGGAGGACGAGGAGGATGAGGAGGAGGCCTCGCTCCGTGTCCAGCTTTT